GTGGAGGGGGCATGCATGGGTGCCAAAAGCAGAGCAGGGGGGAGTGGGGCACAGAAGTCTTACTCATGCCAGGAACTCTAAAGCAGTCCTCATCTGTACTACTGCTGCTGCCACCACATGTTCTTGCTCTTGAAGCAGCAGGGTATCTGTACACTGGCTGCTCCTTCTGCTGCAAGAACTATATGGGGCTATTCTTGCTGTTGGGTTACATACTCTGCAGGGGTGAAGACAATTCTGCTACTCCCCCCTAGACCTGGTGCCCTTCTTGCTACCACAGCAGCTGCAGCAGCCCCATGAGAGGAGGTATTTTTTAAAAAGGGTGAAATACAGAAAATAATTTAGTTAAAACCTTTAAAAATTATATATATCACCTTTGAGCTGACACCAAAAATGGAAAAGTTTCAGCAGATCACACCTGCAAAAACTGAGATGTGCAATCAGATAAATATAAAAATTTTCCACTCTGTTTTTAACACAGAAACACAATAAAAAAGGCTTGTGCCCTAAACAATGAGAAGGAAATGACAGGGTGTTATTAATCACTATGGTGCCACATACAAACATAAAGGAATTGGGAAGCTAGAACAAAAAGAGGTTTGTCTGAATACCTGTTTCACGAGTATTGTTTATTCCCATAGCAGATGCAAATTCAGGCTTGTAGTCGTACTCAACCAGCCTCATTTTTGCTATTCTTCTCAGCTGCTCATTTGTATCAACCTAATTGCACAAATACCAGGCTTCACATGTTGAAACAGTAAGGATTAGAGGCATGTCAAAAGTTTACTTAGCAAAACGAGGTACCTGACATGTCTACTATCAAACAGCTTCCCATCCTTCATTAACCCACTCTCACTGTGTTCTCACTGACATCTTTGGTTCAAAGATGCACATTCATGCCCAAGTTCAAAGATTCTGCCCATATCAAACTCAATGGTTCTGCAAAGCACAGCAGTGAATTTATTTTCCTTAGGCCAATATTTCAACAATGCCCAAAATAAAAAAACTTCTTCACGTGTGTCAGAATAATAATGCACACATGTACTTTGATGCAAATTTAAACGCCCTACATACTCCACAGCACTCACCTCCTGGATATTCTGTTTCGCTCGACTGTCAGATGGATGCATGACTGTCCCCATAACTTTCACATTCCCACAGACAACCAGTGCTTCATCTGGGGCATCTGTGTTAATTCCTACTCGACCATGACAGACTATGGTTTCTGGAACATGTCCTCGCTGCCACAATACATCACTGTCATTCTCAAACTGCCCTGGGTTAGATGCCTGGGAAAAAAATATTTACAGTCAAAGATATAGTAGCATGAATGTCCTATTGCTTTATCCAGTTTACCAAATGAAAATGAAATGCCATACAAATCTTTCACATTTAAATTATGCTACTGAGCTTTTCTGACACATCAAAATGAAAAACAGAATTTAATAACCTCCAACAAAATGAATCCTACATAGAACAGTTTGCAGGAAACTTTGTTTTTGTATTGCATTTTATCATCATGGTAAGTCAGATGCTCAGCATATAGGTTTGGTAGGAGCCCTCATAATCCTCTCCAAAATGCCAATAAGAGCTTTCTCCTGGCCTGCTGACAGGTTAAAATTTAGAAGAGAGAACACACAGCAAATGTTGATCTACCTGGTTCAAAAACTATTCTTTGGAACCCTCTGAATATACAGATTTACTTCTTTTTTATGCTCTCTGATGCCTCCCAGGTATTTATTCCCAAAGCTCATGGTGAACAAATCAGAGATGGGTCTGGGCTTGAATTCATATATCCTACACTCCCACTACAAACCCTTCAAACAATAAAGTAAATACATTATTCCTAGAAAGCACAATCTGGACATAATGTTTATATTGCCCCCCTCCCTATTAGACTTCCTAGTATATTATCTACAGTGCCCAATTACCTTTATCATAATTTTCATAAGCAGAGGTATAACTAGGAAGTTTTGCACCATGGGCAGTGACAGTGGCATTAGCTGGGGCAGTGGCAGCAGCAGCTATTGCTGTTCTTGCACCCCCTCTCAGTAGGCATCCAGGGCTGGTGCCCTGCCCACCCGCCTCTAGTTACTGTTGATATTAAGGCTTTTTGGGACAGGTATCATCTTTCTGGTCTACCTTCATATTGTGCCTAGAAAAGTAGAAACCTCATTTCTGAGTAGGGCTCCAGATTTACACCTCAATAATATATAATATAATTGCATCTACTTCCTTTTCCATTTCTCTGTTCTGGTTCGTGCCTTTTAGAATATAAGC